ACAGACTTGTAAATATTCAATGCAAAATTGTTTCAAGGCTGTTATCAAGTGCTATCCTGTAGAGGTCTCTTTAAATGTGAAAGAATTAATGATCTGACATCCTCAACCAGAACAGTCCTTAAAAGGTGTTTCATCACCAGCTCCATTCTTCTGAGCAGCATATCACAATCGAAGAAGCCTACAGGATTGTGGCCCATAAAATTGTAAATAACAAAAACATAAGATTTCTTTTTAGATGAAGGCTTGTCATTGTTGGATTAAGTGGGCCATCCTATCTCTCTTGAAGTGTCTTAGTATGTATAACTTGATTAATGTGACACTTTAAGTGAGGGAGTCCTTTTTGACTGAATGCTATGATTCCTATGCTTTTCCTGTCCTCTCAAAAGAGTCCAGTTTAGTATGCTCCTAGGAAGTGCAGCTGAATATGCCCCTATGCTATCAGACTCAGATCTTTGGATTCTAAATGTCTTTGAGAGAATGAAAGTGTATGGGTGTGAAGAGACATCTGTGTATGTTATCTACTGCCCCAATTTGTATGGCTACATCATCTACTTCTGGCAAATATGGTCATAATAGGCAGATATGGTAATAAAATCCACTTATCTTCCATATCTTGTCGAAAAACAAAAAAATTACTATTTGTTGCATATTCAGAATGGCTTTTGGAACTATCTTCAGAATTTTTACAACTTCTGTTCATGATGTGATAACATAATCTCTCCATATATTAGTACATTTTTTATAATTCATCTCCTCCATTCTTTCATTAATAATGTGGAAACATTGCTAATGGGCTTCAAATTACCATTTTTTATTTTTGTATTTCAAACACGTATTTTTACATAAAGATAGAAAAATCCTAATAAAAATGACTGGAAATATCAAAAAGAGTATTTCTAATCTCCTCCCACTTATCTCATTTAAGATGTTCTTATATTTACTGGCAGTGGGGAAAATTAACACCTAATGGGAGAAATATTAGGATATGATATGTGGCTTTTTTTGGAAATGGCTACAAGAAGTCTTACCTAAATGACTGTACTATGAGTTTGGCCAAATGCTTGTATACTTTTTCAAAGAATTTGTGGATGATCCTGAAGAATTTCTATGTACCTTTCCAGATGCTGTAATCTTAAGAAAGAATTGTCTTCACACCATATATAATTGGTTAAACAGTTTATTTCCTTTCTAACTGGGAGGTAACCCATTATAAAATATATTTAGGTAGTCTCGGGTAGAACTTGTGGTTCTACCACATGCCAGAACCATGCTATACTTTCATGCACACATCCCATTTCCTTGGAAAGCTGCTAGTTGATGAAGTTCATTGGGGAACCATTGGTTGAAATGATGCTGGAAGCTCATGTGTTGCTTTGTAGTATGTAATTCATTCTTCCTCTCTCTCACCCCTCTCTCTCACCCCTCCTTCCCTTTCCCCCTCTCCCCCTCTCCCCACACTCTCTCATGAAAGGTCAAGCAGGCGAAAGCCCTGAGGGCCTCAAGGGAACTGCCAGCAGGCATTTCCAGGCCTCATGGTGGGCCTCAAGCCCTGACACATGTTAAATAAATTAACACATTTTTTTGGAATTTTAATGATCTCATCATATCTTCTAATGATATGCAGAGACCACTTTTAAACATTCATCTCCAGTAAGGACTTTACCTTTGAGTAGGCTCCCTGTGTGGAAAGCAACTTTTTTCTGCCTTTCTCTTTGCTCTATCAATAAGTTAAGTGCTAAGCTATCCTTAATGTTGACAATGGTGCAATGCTTTTCATTCTTGCCAGTATATGACCACCTGTGCAGACCTTTCGGCTGATTTAGCATAAACATCAGCAGGAGGGGAAAACTCTTTCCGAGACAAGAATCATTAGAATGTTCCTCAATAATGCTTTCCTGTGGTTCAAATAATGACAGTTGCCTCCCTATTCACCAAATATTTACATTTTTAATGCTACCACAGAGTGTCTGCCACACTCTGGAGGTGAGTTAGATGCTGCGTCACATTTCTGGCATATCTCAATGTTGTTTGCATGATGAAAATAAGAAGAGGTAGAGTCCACAGACTTGAAAGAGAGAAAAATCTATAGAACAGAAATAGTTAAAATTCATTTCTATTATATGAATTTTTCTTTCTTTCCTCAAATTTGATCTTATTGAGACTTCCAAGGGCATTTAGTCCTCTAACCTTTCAGACTGGAAAGGGAAGGGAAGGGAAGGGAAGGGAGGAAGGAAGGAAGGAAGGCAAGCTCCATAAGCTCCCAAATATTAAATTTTGTTTTTTATAGTATAGGGTATTTTAGATATCTTATTGTTAGCTAAATGATAAACCAACACACAAACAAGGTAGGGATAACAGTCCACAAAATGAAGAAGGAAAACTCTTAAGGGCTATAAAAATGAGCTTAGATAAATAGAAGGCAGACACAGATTGCCATCTCTCCCAATTTCTTTATTTTGATCCTGTTGTGTTTTACTTCAGGGCAGAAAGATTCTTTCAAGGCTGCTTGTGCTTGTATGAATCAATAGAGCAGCATAAAGCCACATCAGTTCAGAACAGCATTTCACAGGGAAAAATAAGAATATAAAACCATCAGTAGCAGTTTAAAAAGCCAGATACTGCTAATTAAACATTGAAAGAAAACAGAAGAATGATTTATCATGTCTTTAGCTAGAGGGAGAGCCAATTCTTCATTCTTTGGGTAGGAGTTTCACTAAGAGGCCAATACTCTTGTTACTAATCTTGAAAAGTCCCAGCCTGCAGCCTTGGACATACACAACCTTTCATAGTTTGTTTCAGATTCTCTCTGAAAGCATCCAAACTAAAGTAAATGTACTTCTTTGAAAGAACAATAACAAACCAATTTGAGTTTGAGAGCTTTTGAGAAGAATGAAAAGGTTCATGAAGATTTTGTTCTGAATAGAAAATGCTACAGTAACTTTCATCCACTTAAATTTTTTTTCCCTGTCAAATATGGAAGGAAATTCAGAAATGCATAAAAATGACATTTATTTCTCTATTGTTGGTAAACTCACTGTGACCATATTGAAGAGCAAAATTAAAAGCTATGCTGTACATGAAAGGAAATGGAGAGAGTAAGGGAAATCACGTTTGATTCAGTCATGTGGCAAATTTTCTCTTTTATAAGTTTTGTGTGCTTTAAATTTAAGACTATGTGACCTTTCATGTCCTTGGATAAAATAGGGCAACATTCTAAAGGAAGTACAATATGACTGTGAGCAGTGTCTGTGGAGAGTCTCAAACATCCAGCTCTTTGCCAGAACAATGGTCACAAGCCATGGTCATCTCCATCTTCAAAAAGGGAGACCCCAGCCTAGTTGAAAATTACAGACCAATCTCTTTATGATGCGTCACCTGTAAAGTCATGGAATCAATTACTAACCAATCCATTATCCTCCACTTAGAGATAAACAACCTACTCTTTAATAAACAATTTGATTCTAGGAAAAAACTATCATGTAATCTGCAACTCTTACACTGCAAAAACATATGGACTACATAACTCGATCAGGACAAAGCAATAGATGCAATCTACATAGACTTCTGTAAAGCCTTTGATTCAGTGGTACACAACAAACTACTCCTCAAACTAAAATCTTACGGTATCTCTGGACCCCTGCATAACTGGATAGACAGACAACAAATGGTCAAAATTGGGAGCGTCCTATCAAATTCTGTACCTGTCAACAGTGGTGTCCCCCAAGGCAGTGTTCTAGGACCAACTCTCTTCATACTCTACATAAATGACCTCTGTGATCATATCAAGAGCAACTGCGTTCTCCTTGCTGATGATGTAAAGCTATTCAACACCACAAATAATACTGATACTCTTCAAAAAGACCTTGACTATGTATCAGAATGGTCAAACAAATGGCAACTTCAAATCTCAACAAATAAATGCTCTATCCTACATATTGGCAAAAAAATCAGAAAATAAAATACAGGCTGAATAGTCAAGACCTTGCTGATGATCCAAACTCTGTCAAGGATCTTGGAGTACTCATCTCAAATGACCAAAGTGCTAGAGCCCACTGTAACTACATAGCCAAAAAGGCGTTAAGAGTTGTTAACCTAATCTTAGCTTTTTCTCTGGTAATATTACACTAATAACTAGAGTATACAAAACATTTGCTAGACCAATACTCAAATACAGGTCATCAGTCTGGAACCCACATTACGTATCTGATATTAACACAGTTGAGAAAGTCCAGAAATATTTCACAAGAAGAGTTCTTCCCTCCTCTACTCGTTGCAGAATACCTTATGCCACCAGAGTTGAAATTCTAGATCTAGAAAACCTAGAACTACGGCACCTTCAGTCCAATCTAAGTATAGTATATAAAATCATACATTGCAATGTCCTACCTGTCAATGAATACTTCAGCTTCAACCATAACAACACAAGAGCACACAATAGATACAAACTCAAGGATAAGCGCATCAAACTTGATTGCAGGAAATACAATTTCAGCAACAGAGTGGTCAATGTCTGGAATACTCTACCTGACTCTGTGGTTTTTTCCCCAAACCCCAAAAACTTTAACCTTAGACTGTCTAATATTGAGCTCACCCCTATCCTAAGAGGTCTGTAGGGGGCGTGCATAAGCGCACCAACGTGCCTACCATCCCTCTCCTATTGTTTCATATATATATATTCTTATATGTATCCATGTATTCATAACTATGTTTTTACTTATACCTATTATCTTGTAAGCAATTGACAACTGAATAAAACAAACAAACAATGGTTGTCTCAAAGGTGCTTTTTCAAAAAGGCCACTAGACTTTGTATTTCCTTCAAGACGTTTCTCTTCTCATCCAAGAAGCTTCTTTAGCCAGAATTGAAGAAGCTTCTTTGATGAGAAGCAAAACATCTTCAAGGAAAAAAAAAATTTGAAAAAACACCTTTGCGAGTGTAAGCCATATTGATCTTGTTTTTGCTCTTTATTTATGCTAGCTTTCTCTTCATGCCTTTCCAGGTACTATGCCATCTGCTGCCAGCCATTGGTTTACAGGAATAAGATGACTCCACTACGCATTGCTCTATTGCTGAGTGGCTGCTGGGTAATCCCAATGTTTATTTCTTTTCTTCCTATAATGCAAGGCTGGAATAGCATTGGCATCATGGAGTTGGTGAGTAGATCTCAGTTGCCTGATGTAAAACCTATTCCAGGTCAAAATCAGAATACTTTTATTTTGCTTACAGCCCTGCTTAGGTTTGAATGATTATATACCATTGTTATTGATTTTCATAATGAAGGCAAATATACATGTCCCAGGATAATGTTGCAGGGTCCAATCTAAGTCAATCAACAGGACCAGAGGGATTGCAGGCTAACTCTGCTCACATTGCCAGGAGTTTGATTCCCTCGATTCTGACTGGCTCAAGTTTGACTCGGCCTTCCATCCTTCTGAGGTCGGTAAAATGTGGACCCAGATTGTTGGGGGCAAAATGATGACTTTGTAAACCCCTTAGAGAGGGTTGTAAAGCACTATGAAACAGTATATAAGTCTAAGTGCTATTGCTATATATTTCCCATTCTAGGCCTTTCACATTCAATCTTTTTTTTCCCTTGGAGAAACCCTTGAAATAATTTTTGGGTCCTATAAAAATGGCAATCAATATTATAATTTCATAGTACAATTCGCTTTGAACCTACACAAGTCTCTCTACCAAAGTGTAAAGCAGGAGGCTGGCAGCTAAGTCATGGTGTGTAAAAATTCTCATCACTGTGTGTATTAGACTTGTGTGAACTATGTGCACTAAGCAAACTTCATTTTTCTGTGATGTTTTCTTGTAGTGACTTCTTGTGTAATTCTTGGATTCCACAAAATATCACTTATAAAAAACTACTCTAGGTTCTCAATGTTACCTTTAAGAAGAAAATTGCAAAAAAGAACAATAAAAAGTATTTTTGAAACAAGACAAATAATGTTAACACTGATCTATAGTTCTATAGATATTAGTTTAGTTAAAGTATTTCCTACTAAGATTTGAGCTAACTAACCTCTGAGCTAAACTAATCTCTGGAGGGAAGGGAGAGCCTTCAAAAATGATTTAAATGACAATGGAAAGTTTGCTTCCTGAATCCAAGAAATGAAAATGTCTGTAAAGTTAAATTACATTTAGTTCATACCAGTACTCTGTGTTTATTAATTTTGAAATCTTTGATTAACACTAAAAAAATTAAAACAAGATTGGAAAATTCAAGACCTCAGAGACAGTTTACTACCTTTAAATCTGTTGTTATAAACCCTGATATTATTTCTGGTCACAAAAGTTATAGAGTAGTATCCTATAATTCTGAGTCAAAAGCACCATAAAATAATAAACTGTAAAATAACTTATTTCTCAAGCATCCCTCCAAGATTTAGATGTAACAGTAGGAAAGCCTGGATTTCCCGAAGTGAATATAACAATAGCGCTTAGCAATAGCACTTAAACTTATATACCACTTCACAGTGCTTTTATAGCCCTCTCTAAGCAGTTTACTTCTTAACCTTTTTGAAAGAATCGCTCCCTTGAGCCATTGAGGAAGTTATCATCGCCCCCCCTCCCCCAACATAACCTCTCAAACACAACACAGGGAAATAATTCTTCAATTTATACAAACACATTTTTGTTTTCTTTAAAATTGTCATCAGGACATATCGATGCAAATAATTTATTTCCAGTCATTTTCTCATATCTCAACTGTGTGAAAAATTTGGATGCCACCCATCACTTTACTCCCAAACTTCGTGATACATGTATTTCATTATTATCTTATTTATTCAAGACACTTAAATGCAATGACCACTGAAAACAAAATTCAATTGCAAGAAAATGAAATGCCTGAAAAATACAGTAACATTTAATGATTTAATTACAAGTGAATTTTAAGACGCAAAAAGAAATATAAAAAGGGCATAAGAACAAACCACAATGCAGGAACTAAGAATTTCAAGACGAAAACTCTGAAACTAAATTAAGATTCAAGAAATATATATATTCATGCACACTGTAAAAAGGGTTAAAAAGACACAAAGAAAATTTTTACAGAAGGAAAGCAATAAAAATCAGAGTGACAAATTTAATGGGTAGAGTGATAGAGGCTGCTGCGCAACACGCATGATGATGAGCGATGCGTATTCACATATGTACGGTGTTCTGTACTGAAGCTAGCTGGAGGAACATTTTAAAACACAGTTCAATCCACTAATAGCGAGCGATTTGATGGTTTTGTACGACAGATATACAGTGGTTCACGGTATGAAAAAAGTCTCAAAAGTATCCCCAAAACTTCTCGCTCCATCACCTTCATATTGCCCCCTTCCATTCCTTCACCCCCATGTCATCCCTTTTTGTTCCATCGACCCCCTGAAAAATGAAATTGCCCTCAGGGGGGCAATCTCGCCCAGGTTAAGAACCACTGGTTTACAGCATATTGCCCCCAACAATCTGTATCCTCATTTTACCCAGCTAAGAAGGATGGAAGGCTGAGTCAACCTTGAGCCTGATGAGATTCGATCTGCCAAATTGTAGGCAGCAGGGCAAGCAGACAGCAGAAGTAGCCTGCAATACTGCATTCTAACCACTGTGTCACCATGGCTCATATGTTCATGTTGTATCCATTTTGTACTTAATTCTAATGGAGGAGATCTTGGTTATATAAGATAGATGTCTATTTGAATAGAGGTAGATCTGAGTATGTTTTCTGCAAGAGAGTTTCCTTAAACAGGGGTGTCAAACTCAATTTCATTGAAGACCGCATCAGGGTTGTGCTTGACCTTGGAGGGTGGGGGGGCATGGTGGGTGTGGTCAGCTCAAAGTCACTCATGTTGGGAGGCATCTGTGGTGGCCCAACTGCTCTGCCAGCAAAAATGGGCTCCTGAGCTCTGTTTTTGGCTGCAGTGGCCTCTTGCAATCCTCTGCCAATGAAAATGGAGTTGCATGCAGCCCTCCTGAGCTCCACTTTTGCTGGCAGATGCACCATGGGCCGGTCTTTTGCTGTTTCCAAGGCGGCCCCATGGGCCAGATCTAAGCACCCAAGGGGTCGGATCCAGTCTGTGGGCCTTGAGTTTGACACCCCTGTCCTTAAAGAACAGTCCTTTCAGTTTAAGGATAGGCAATTTTCCCCCTTATCTACCTTTCTTTATTGATAGTATGCCCTTTGGGGAAAAAAAAAAGTCCTGGATCTTTGTTTTTGTATATGATAACTGCAGTAACATTATTGTATGCATAAAGATGGAAAGATTTGGTGCTACCTACTATGGAGGAATGGTTAGTGAAGATGATGGAACTTTCTGAGATAGCTAAATTGACTTCTTTGATAAAAGAAAATACAATATGTTTATTGCTCCCATATGGATCTTTTGCATAAAACAGAATATTGACAGAGAGTACAGAATATAGAAAGAAGAAAGTTATGATTGAATGATAAAATAAGAGGTACATTTATAATTGTACTTTTAACTGCTTTTAACTGCTGTAAAAAAGACCAGAAGCTATTTCTTTGTATACTTTTTGTTTCTTTGATATTGTTCTATTACTTTCTTTTACTTTTAGCTTTCTCTTTAATTTCTTTCTTACTTCATATTAGCTGTATAAGTATTTATCTTCCTTTTAAAAATATGTAATAAACTATTTTACATTTAATAATACATTACAATGTAGCAACAAACAGGATAAAAGTAAAACCTAATGGTCTGATTCAAGGATTCCCAGGCAGCCAAAATCTTTAGATAGTGTCTGCCAATCTGCTCTGATCATTTAGAGATACTGACCCTGGAGGAAGGATTTGTGGTTCTACTTATCTTTTGTCCCATGTAGCCCAACAGTTTTTCTGTGAGGAAGGAATCACCAAAAACCATAAAGTTTTGAACAGTTCTCCTTGAGCTGTGTGTTCTGTTTCTTTAGTTCTGTAACTACACAGTTCCAGGAGCCTCTAAAAACAGTCTTTGGCAATGTTTGCATTGGAAAGCCTCTCTGAGATGTGATGAATTTCAAGGATTTGGGGAAAAATGTATGTGGGGTTTTCAGAGGTACCAGAACTCATTATAAAACCTAGATTTTTTACAAGTGAAAAGAAAAATATAAGATTATGCAAAGAGAGCTAGAAGAAATACACATATTTTTTCGGGAACTCAAAAAGATGGAATATATTTTATTCTGCAGGGTTTTTTTTCCTCTTTCATCATTTATAGAAATAAAATCCCTGTTATTGTAACAAAATTTTTGAGAAGAAGCTTGCATAGCAATGTCACTCTTCATGATTATAAACAGCTACAGATAAATAGAACTAACCATCAAAAATGAGGACAAAAGGTAGATATTTGAGGCAGTTATCAAGTCTACCTCTCTCCATAATATTAATGAAATCGTCTTTCTGGAATCTTCCATATTTGAGATTTCTGGTTTTACAGCCACATACTCCTAGAAGATTATGATAGGAAAACAAAATTGCTCTTAATAATTTATTTTCTCAATTTGTCTCAGAAATATTATAGCAGAATGAAAGACAACCATTTTTACTATTAGACTTAAAAGAAAACAACAGTTAAGTGAACAGTGCTGTGCTAAGTCACACAGCATACATTGAATTAATTCTTACATATATTCTGGATATCCCTTCTCCTCTATTAGGCATACAGAATGATTGACTACATGTACAGAATTAGACTGCTTCCCAGAACATTTCAGAGATCCATTGTTCAAATAAAACATTTGCTTCATTATCCCTTCCCTATTTTCCATTTACTTCCTTTTTGAAAGTTTGTTTTTCTGTAGTTATTGCCTGACATTGACAGTATTCAAACTCTCATCATTATTATTCTCTAGATGAAGGATTCTAATCCATGACAAAATCTGCTGTCAACAACACGAGAGGCGATATTAACTCTTTTCATGAAATATGGGTCTGAGACAATTTTTGTTTAATTCATAGAATTCATAGTAACCATGCAAATTCTATAGTTTTTGAGATTTTTTTAAAACCACCCTACATGTTTCAAGAAACCATGAGCAGATGGAGAAAACTTCTGTACCAGTTTCCCCACTCAGCCTCTCCAAATGTATTGAAATCACAATTCTTAACATTCTCTTCCAGAATACAGAAGCTGAATGAAATAATACTAATATTTGATATCAATTCTACTTTCATGATTATCACCTATGCAATGTATAAAGTAGTCTTTTCCAGCATGCTACCCTCTAGGTATTTTGTTCTGGATGTTACATTATCAGTCGGTTTCCAGATCTGGATGTTACATTATCAATCAGTGGCATTCATTGCAATAAAATACAATGTTTTCCTTTAAAACTTAGTAATGTTCAATTTTCTTTCTCTTCCCATCTCTTCCTCTTATCAAAACTGATATATGCTGGACAATGGAATAGATTTTTACAAACTCAAAAAATAACCACCCAGAGTTGCTCAAAATCTGGCACCATAAAATTTTAATGAATTGTTATTATTAATTGCACTTCATTTGTTCACCGTTTTGATATTTCAGTACTATATTTTCTTTCTGAAGTAGTTCAAAAGTTGTTGAAAATAGAAAAAACATGCAAGAGAGTTAACAACAGTGGAAAAATAGGACAAATATGAATAAGACAAATTATAATTATGAAAGAAAAAATGGGCTAATTGTGAGACAAAAAATTGTATTAGAGGTTGGTGAAGAAAGATCTGTGATGCTAACATCATTTGTATATAATGGGTAAATGAAGCTAAGAAAGAACATTTTATTTTCTGGGATATTTCAGTAAGCCTCTAATATTTCTGTACTGTTTCTGTTTTTTGTTTTGTTTACCTCCTCAGGTAGAGAAAAGGCAGTTCAACAATGCATCCAACTCAACTTACTGCATATTCATGGTGAACAAGCCGTATGCCATCACCTGCTCAGTCGTAGCCTTCTACATTCCATTTCTGCTAATGGTTCTAGCTTACTATCGAATATACATTACAGCAAGGGAGCATGCTCATCAGATACGAATCTTACAGCGTGCAGGGGCACCAACAGATGGGCGACCCCAACACCCAGATCAGCATAGCACACACCGTATGAAGACGGAGACTAAAGCTGCAAAGACCCTCTGTATCATCATGGGATGTTTCTGCTTGTGCTGGGCACCTTTCTTTATCACAAACATAATAGATCCTTTCATACATTATGCAGTTCCTGAACAGATATGGACCGCTTTCTTGTGGCTGGGATACATCAATTCAGGACTGAATCCCTTCCTTTATGCATTCTTGAACAAGTCTTTCAGACGTGCCTTCCTTATCATCTTGTGTTGTGGTGATGAACGATATCGAAGACCTTCCATCTTGGAACAAACAGTACCTTGTTCTACCACTACTATCAATGGATCAACTCATGTACTGAGGTGAGTTCAAGATTATCTACTTCAATGGAAGCTTAAAAAATAACATACTTCTTTTTTAAATACATGTTTGAGAAAATATTTTTTCTAACTATGTTTTCTAACTTAGTCTATGAATTCATAAAGGAAAGCTAAGATATTTACTTTTCAGACAAATAGTAATTTTGTCAATGCTTGTATATACGTTTTCAGGTGGAGGGAGAGAAGTTTTGTGAAATTTACAGGAGAATAAAATTTCATTCCTTTTTTTCAAAAAAACCTTTGAGTTTAAAATAGGATTGGCTATCCTAAAACTTAAATTTTCAGAAAAATGATTAAGGATGCAATATTTTTTTTTTTTTGTATGAAAATGGTTAAGGTAAAAGTACAAAGATAGTGGTGTGCTTGTGTGAAAAAAATTATATTGTGTATAAGAACATGATTCAGTCAAAAGCATAGGTCAAATGATATACACTGCTCAAAAAAATAAAGGGAACACTTAAACAACACAATGTAACTCCAAGTCAATCACACTTCTGTGAAATCAAACTGTCCACTTAGGTAACAACACTGATTGACAATCAATTTCACATGCTGTTGTGCAAATGGAATAGACAACAGGTGGAAAGCATAGGCAATTAGCAAGACATCCCCAATAAAGGAGTGGTTCTACAGGTAGTGACCACAGACCACTTCTCAGTTCCTATGCATTCTGGCTGATAGTTTGGTCACTTTTGAATGCTGGTGGTGCTTTCATTCTAGTGGTAGCATGAGACAGAGTCTACAACCTACACAAGTGGCTCAGGTAGTGCATCTCATCCAGGATGGCACATCAATGCAAGCTGTGGCAAGAAGGTTTGCTGTCTGTCAGCGTGGTGTCCTGAACATGGAGGCACTACCAGGAGACAGGCCAGTACATCAGGAGACATCAAGGAGGCTGTAGGAGGGCAACAACCCAGCATCAGGACCTCTACCTCCACCTTTGTGCAAGGAGGGACAGGAGGAGCCCTGCCAGAGCCCTGCAAAATGACCTCCAGTGGGCCACAAATGTGCATGTGGCTGCTCAGTTGGTCAGAAACAGACTCCCTGAGGATGGTATGAAGGCCCGATGTCCACAGGTGGGGGTTGTGCTTACAGCCCAACACCGTGCAGGATGCTTGGCATTTGCCAGAGAACACCAAGATTGGCAAATTCGCCACTGGCGCCCTGTGCTCTTAACAGTTGAAAGCAGGTTCACACTGAGCACATGTGACAGACGTGACAGGGTCTGGAGATGCCGTGGAAAACGTTCTGATGCCTGCAACATCCTCCAGCATGACCAGTTTAGCAGTGGGTCAGTAATGGTGTGGGGTGGCATTTCTTTAGGGGGCCGCACAGCCCTCTATGTGCTCGCCAGAGGTAGCCTAACCATATGCTGGTGCGGTTGGCCCTGGGTTCCTCCTAATGCAAGACAATGCTAGATCTCATGTGGCTGGAGTGTGTCAGCAGTTCCCTGCAAGACAAAGGCATTGAAGCTATGGACTGGGCCACCCGTTCCCCAGACCTGAATCCAATTGAGCACATCTGGGACATCATGTCTTACTCCATCCACCAATGCCACGTTGCACCAGACTGTCCAGGAGTTGGGGGATGCTTTAGTCCAGGTATGGTAGGAGATCCCTCAGGAGACCATCCACCACCTCATCAGGAGCATGCCCAGGCATTGTAGGGAGGTCATACAGGCACATGGAGGCCACGCACACTACTGAGTCTCATTTTGACTTGTTTTAAGGATATTACATCAAAGTTGGATCAGCCTGTAGTGTTTTTTTCCACTTTAATTTTGAGTGTAACTCCAAATCCAGACCTCCATGGGTTGCTAAATTTGATTTCCATTGATAATTTTTGTGTGATTTTGTTGTCAGCACATTCAACTATGTAATGAATAAGAATATTTCATTCATTCAGATCTAGGATGTCTTATTTTTGTGTTCCCTTTATTTTTTTGAGCAGTGTATCTTAAACAGGTGCTGAAAGTTTAAAAGGTTCTGCATCATCCAAACAAGGAATGAATGTCAATGGGCTACTTATATGCAGGTACAAAACACACATTCCTGGGTTTTTGCATAGCAAACCTCTGGTAGTTGCAGTATCTTCAAGATATCTCCTCCTGATCTCAGCTAAGAGGCAGATAAAACATTTCCTACATTCCAGTAAGCTTTTCATGTCTGCATAATCTAATCTCTATGATGGAATCTTTTCTGAAAAACAGATAGATATTTGGACATAATGACAATTATTTTGAAGAGTTTCCTAAGGCAGCATCAGGTTTTTAATTTTTCTTGCTGATAGTGCTGTTGGATGGACAGTTTTGCAATTGAAAGAAAATAATATTAAAGCTCAATAATGGACACTTTCTTGCTGCTGCAACTTTCATTCCATAGTCTTTGAGAAATTGTTTCTTTAAAAAAAAAACACCTTGCTAATTGAAGCAGTTTAAGAGATGAAAATCAAATCACAAATCTCATCTGCTGAAAATAAAAATTCTTTTAACGTTATTCTGTTAAAAAAAATAGGAAAAAAAAAACAAGCAGCCTGTTCTTTTGCATTGCCCGCCCCTTCCCTAAGAGAAGGAGGAAACTGACAGCATCTTAAAAATTTCACCTTTGCTGCTTTGCCTGTTACATGAAGTGGGATTTGCAAAGCTGTCAAGGCAACCTTTCCTTTAGAGGATCTGGTGGGCAGTGATGTTCAGGAAGACTGAAGCAAAACTTCTCCTTCCTTCTGAAAACTGTACAAAATTCTGCATTTCCAGCTGAGAATGGTTCTTTTTACAGCAGAATTGAACTGAAACTTAATCCATTCAGCAGTAGCATGGGATGGCAGGTATCCTGATTTGGGTGTAGCATAAACCCCTTTGGGAACATTTGGAAATAGAGATAAATAGATAGATAGATAGATAGATAGATAGATAGATAGATAGATAGATA